TTAATATATGTGAAATCCATGTGATCCTCTAAGTTCCTTGAGATCCAGTCTTCATGGGGGCACACCAAAGTACTTAGTTAATACTGCTGACTTGAACTGACAGACAAGGAAGGCCTCAAAAGTGATATGAATTTCCCATATATAAGTTACTATTTAAATATTAAGTCATCCCAGAATTTCCTAAAAGGACTGTGAACTACCAGATGCTTCAGACAGCCTAGCAGATGTTTCATCATGAAGAAACTGTCGGTATGTTTTTTAAGATGATAATGAGAAACTCTTAAGGGAATTGGACCTTTGACAGAATGGAGAAGTGTCAGAGGAAGATCAGAGTTGTCCTTCAAAATCTTAAGCATCCAAACACTTAACTTCCAAAGAGGTTATATCTTAAGATGAAGTGGGAAAGTTTCCTTCCATTACTTTCATGTTCCAAACCATTTCCTTTTCTTACGACCCCAGAGGTCCATGTCAGCTGAAGTTTTAGAAGACAAATAAATTGGGTTGTTTCACTATCGCTAAGTAAATTCCGACGTTAATTCTTTATCCTCTATCCAAAGGCCCCAATCCAAAGGGAAAGGAGGTGAGCAATGCCTGGACATGTCTCAGCAACCACCCACCCAGCTTTTACTCTGGCACCACCAGGGAACATCCAGCTAAATATCCTGAGTTGCTGTCTTGTGTCCTTCCCACATCAGGGCCACAACTGTATTATAGAACTTCAAGCTCTGCCATGATGCCCTGGTGACACTCAGAAATCCCACAGCTACAGAGCTCTGAGGAGAAAGCAAACCTTTGACAGCAGTGGGTTTCAACATCAGCCTATGGCTAATGGGCATAACTCTAAAAGAAAACTCTTACCTGACAACTTCTTGAGCAGTCTTTTTTAAAATCTTTAACTAGTAATCATTTCCATCATTATGGTCCTTTAGTGCTTCTTAATAGTAAGTCCTTTGCAAGCAGTGAACAAACCAGCAGTTAAGAGTTCCCAACTCCTCACTGCACTCCTCAGTAGTGTGTACAAGTCTCTTTGTGACTTTTATTCTGGGTATGTATCAGCTGGAGCACACTCGACCCCATCCTTCAACAACCTCATTTGCCTGGTCTTCGGGGGTGGTGGTCAGAGGTAACATTCCAGCTGCCAGTACCATGCCCAATGACAGACTAAAGGATCTTTTCCACAGAAAGGCAAGGTTAATAAACAGCTCGAATCACTGGCTTATTCTTTCTACTCTCTTTGCCTCTCTTGTGCCAAGGGATCTCCCCCAGCTGTGTAATGTCTTCTTTCACCAACACAATTAAGTCCACCGCCAAGTACCCACTTCTAATACCCTGATGCGTACAGAATACTAATGTATCAATACCTGGGCCAGCAAAGAAAAGGGATATGATATCTTACTAGGAAAATCTGTTCACAAAACCATTCACCCACTCAGTAAGTAGTATAAACACTTCTGAAAAAAATTAATAAGGCATTATCACCCCTTTAAGCCTCCATGAACACTTACACACAAAATTACATAAGAATGTAATTACTTTGGGGTTTTTGTTTTAAGGAATTGCTAGATATCATATGAAACATCCCTAAAATATAAATATATAGGCAGATTTATATTGAGAGTTGTATATAGAAATATAACCACAAATATTTAGAAATATATATTTATATATAGCTATGTACTAATTATATTTTTAATCTTATGTAGTATTTATATCTATTTACTTGTAAACATTATGTAACATGTACATATGTAAAATGTTTTATGCATACATATTTTACATAAATGTATTAATATAAATATTTCAAGTAACATACTTATATATAGAATTTATTTTATATATAAATATAAATATTTCCTAAAATATATACACCATCACCCTAATCAAAACTTGTGAGAACTTATTCAAGCCCACAGTGAAGTTTCTTCCACTCATTTTATTTTTTATGTTTGTTTATATTATGAATGGGGAAAGGGTAGCAATAACAGAATCACCGTATCTAATAAAGTCTGGCTCTGTTATCAGGTCAAATAAAAATATCAGAGTTCTATGACCTTGAGGTATTCTCACTGTTTAAAATGAACTTTTTCATTTTCAGGAGGACAATAAGGGGATTATAAATGAAAGTTTCACTCCTAAATACTGACCAAAATAATTACCTTTTATGGATTTCATAGGCTGATATAACCAATCCAAAGTCAGAACTAAAACAGGAAAGAAAAAAAGTTAAATAAAGATAAGACAATGATAGTATTTATTCCTAGATATACAGATAAGTATAATGAAATAATATAGTCTCGATCATGGTGAAAGGGCTGTCAGGTTTGAAAAAAACTGTGTATGTGCACATCTAACTCATAAAGAACTTGTGAATATGGAGGAAAATATATTTAAGTTCTTATTCATTTAATTTTTATTTATTTACTTCCCATTCAACCAATTTCAAAAAAGGATCTGAGGCAGAATTCCTTTCTAAACTATGTAAGACCCCACTAGTAAAAGCTGATAGCAACAGTGGAAGTGGTGTTAGCATGGCTATTGATTTTCCTGCCCATTTCCAGACCAAGGTCTTTTATACCAGGCTGGTGCTGCCCTCCCACAGTCCCTTGATTCAAAGAAAAATAATTAAATATTTATTTTACCATTTGTCAGTATGTCTGACTTTTTAAAAGCCAGCCCATCAAACATGAAAATAACTATACGGTGTATGTATACAACTTCCATTGTTTACAGCAATTATGACAAAGAAAGGCAGAGAAAGAGGAAATATTTCCTTCTGGCATTTCTAAGTAGCTTCTGACATAATATAAGTTACTGCATTTTAATAATATAAACTTTCCAGGATATTTCATTCCCCCCAGCAACTGCCAAAACAGCATTCTGCAAACACTAAAAAAGGAGAAAAATAATGATTCTGCCAAATACAAAAATAGTATCTCTCAGTGAAAGAGTTAAGAAACTGATGAGCTCTGTAATAGATTTTCTTTGATTCTAAACATATCATAAGATATCCTAGCAGCTCAACGGATGCATTCAGCACCTTATACCTTGAAAGAAATTCATAAATTTCACTAAAAACTTTACTGTCAATGCCACAGCACTTTTCCCAAACATTTTCTACCACAAAATTGTTTCATCACATACCTATGAATATCTTGCAAAATACTAACATTCCCAGAACACAGCTTAGAAATCAGTTATACAGAATTTAATAATTTATCATCCAGCAATATAGATAATCAAAGTACATATACGTGCTAAAGAAGGCAAGAAAAAGGGGGGGCGGGGGATTTATAAGTAGAGAATACTCTTCAAATATTATATGCAGCAGACCTGACTGCTACTTTCTGCTACTTCCCATTCAGTCTTACTCAGTTTCTCTACATTTTCAAGAATTCCTTTCTATTTTCCTAATTTTAATTCTTCAAGAAACACTCATGACTATCTGAATCAACCATACTCAAATTTTTATTTACAGATAAAAAACCAAATATAACTAAGCAAAACTACACTGAGTCTATGTAAGTAATCATGTAAATAAATGTACTACTAAAATGACCAAAATGTACTAATTAAAACACATGTTCCCCTTTTTCAGGAACAGTAGTTTTAGCTAAAGTAAACATGACAGAGAAAAGCTAGAATATATATAGAATAACTCTGAAAGGATACAAAAAAAACTGATAATAATGGTTGCCTCTTAAGAATATACAATGGAAAAAAGACAACCTCTTTATTTTTTTTCTCATTAAACTTTTTTTAATGGGTCTCAAATTCTGTGACAGATTTTTGGTCAAGTTGTTTTCATTAAAAAGTACTGATTTTAAAAACTAATAACTTAAACTGCCACACACAAAACATATGGTCCACAAAAACATTCTCCTTTCCTTCTGAAGGTTTTACGATGCATTGTTATCATTAACCAGTCTTTTACTATTAAATTTAAATGGCCAATTGAGACAAACAGTTCTGAGACCATTCTTCCACCACTGATTAAGACTGGGGTGGCAGGTGTTGGGGATAATACTCATTTAGCCTTCTGAGCTTTCTGGGCAGACTTGGTGACCTTGCCAGCTCCAGCTGCCTTCTTCCACTGCCTTTATGACACCCACAGCGACTGTCTGTCTCATGTCACGCACAGCAAAACGGCCCAGGGGAGGATAATCAGAGAAGCTCTCGACACACATGGGCTTGCCAGGAACCATATCAACAATGGCAGCGTCACCAGATTTCAAGAATTTAGGGCCATCTTCCAGCTTTTTCCCAGAACGACGATCAATCTTCTCCTTCAGCTGAGCAAACTTGCAATCAATGTGAGCTGTGTGACAATCCAGCACAGGTGCATAACCAGCACTGATCTGGCCTGGATGGTTCAAAATAATCACCTGAGTTGTGAAGCCAGCAGCTTCCATGGGTGGATCATTTTTGCTGTCTCCAGCCACATTGCCACAACGGACATCTTTGACAGACACATTCTTGACATTGAAGCCCACATTGTCCCCAGGAAGGGCTTCACTCAATGCTTCATGGTGCATTTCTACAGACTTCACTGCAGTTGTCACATTGACTGGAGCAAAGGTGACCACCATGCCAGGTTTGAGAACACCAGTCTCCACACGACCCACAGGGACAGTACCAATACCAATTTTGTAGACATCCTGGAGAGGCAAACGCAAGGGTTTGTCAGTTGGGCAAGTTGGTGGCAGGATGCATTTGAGAGCTTCAAGCAGGGTGGTTCCACTGGCATTGCCGTCCTTACGGGTGACTTTCCATCCCTTGAATCATGGCATGTTAGCACTTGGCTCCAGCATGTTCTCGCCATTCCAGCCAGAAATTGGCACAAATGCTACTGTGTTGGGGTTATAGCCAATTTTCTTAATGTAGGTGCTGACTTCCTTAACAATTTCCTCGTATCTCTTCTGGCTATAGGGTGGCTCAGTGGAATCCATTTTGTTAACTCCAACAATTAGTTGTTTCACACCCAGAGTGTAAGCCAGAAGGGCATGCTCGCGGGTCTGCCCGTTCTTGGAGATACCGGCTTCAAATTCACCAACACCAGCAGCAACAATCAGGACAGCACAGTCAGCCTGGGATGTGCCTGTAATCATGTTTTTGATGAAGTCTCTGTGTCCCGGGGCATCAATAATGGTAACATAGTACTTGCTGGTCTCAAATTTCCACAGGGAGATATCAATGGTGATACCACGGTCACGTTCTGCTTTCAGTTTGTCCAAGACCAGGCATATTTGAAGGAGCCCTTTCCCATCTCAGCAGCCTCCGTCTCGAACTTCTCAATTGTTCTCTTGTCGATCCCGCCACATTTGTAGATCAGATGGCCAGTCGTGGTAGACTTCCCTGAATCTACGTGCCCAATGACAACGATGTTGATGTGGGTCTTCTCCTTTCCCATTTTGGCTTAGGTTTAACGGTGGTTTTCACGACACCTGTATCCTGGCGGCAAACCCATTGCAAAAAAGCGACAACCTCTTTAACAAGTGGTGCTGGGAAAACTGGTCAACCACTTGTAAAAGAATGAAACTAGAACACTTTCTAACACCATACACAAAAATAAACTCAAAATGGATTAAAGATCTAAATGTAAGACCAAAAACTATAAAACTCCTAGAGGAGTAGGCAAAACACTCTCCGACATAAATAACAGCAGGATCCTCTATGACCCACCTCCCAGAATATTGGAAATAAAAGCAAGAATAAACAAATGGGACCTAATGAAACTTAAAAGCTTTTGCATAGCAAATGAAGAAACAGACAAAGGATTAATCTCAAAAATATACAAGCAACTCCTGCAGCTCAATTTCCAGAAAAATAAATGACCCAATCAAAAAATGGGCCAAAGATCTAAACAGACATTTCTTCAAAGAAGACATACAGATGGCTAACAAACACATGAAAAGATGCTCAACATCACTCATTATCAGAGAAATGCAAATCAAAACCTCAGTGAGGTACCATTACATGCCAGTCAGAATGGCTGCTATCCAAAAGTCCACAAGCAATAAATGCTGGAGAGGGTGTGGAGAAAAGGGAACCCTCTTACACTGTTGGTGGGAATGCAAACTAGTACAGCTGCTATGGAGAACGGTGTGGAGATTTCTTAAAAAACTGGAAATAGAACTGCCATATGACCCAGCAATCCCACTCCTGGGCACACACACCGAGGAAACAAGATCTGAAAGAGACACGTGCACCCCAATGTTCATCGCAGCACTGTTTATAATAGCCAGGACATGGAAGCAACCTAGATGCCCATCAGTGGACGAATGGTTAAGGAAGATGTGGTACATATACACTATGGAATATTACTCAGCCATTAAAAAGAATTCATTTGAATCAGTTCTAATGAGATGGCTGAAACTGGAGCCCATTATAGAGAATGAAGTAAGCCAGAAAGATAAAGACCAATACAGTATACTAATGCATATATATGGAATTTTAAAAGATGGTAATAATAACACTATATGCAAAACAGAAAAAGAGACAGAGATGTACAGAACAGACTTTGAGACTCCGTGGGAGAAGGCGAGGGTGGGATGTTCAGAGAGAACAGCATTGAAACAGTATACTATCAAGGATGAAACAGATCACCAGCCCAGGTTGGATGCATGAGACAAAGTGCTCAGGACTGGTGCAGTGGGAAGACCCAGAGGGATGGGATGGAGAGGGAGGTGGGAGGGGGGATCGGAATGGGGAATACATGTAAATCCATGGCTGATTCATGTCAATGTATGGCAAAAACCGCTACAATACTGTAAAGTAATTAGCCTCCAACTAATAAAAATAAGTGGAAAAAAATAAAAATAAAATGAGAACACCACCCAAAAAAAAAAAAAAAAACAATGGTTGCCTCTAAGAAAGAAAACTAGAGGATACTTTATGGTATATATTTTTGTAGTGCTTGAATTCCTCATCATATGTGAGTATTGATTTTTTTGAAAAATAAAATATATATTAAATTTGAAATTTTTTTAACAGTAAAAATATTAAGAATCCATACAACAAGCATAAGATGATAGGATTTTCCATGTACCTCATATATGTGAATTTCCTACTTAGTTAAAAGACTCACTGTGAAAATTATTTGTTCAAATCTTACATTGACAAGAAATATTAGGATCTCCAGAGGAAAAAACACAAATAGCTATCCACAGCAAAAATAAAACTCATGATCATGTCTTATACTTGGTTTAAACATCTGACTTTTCATTCAATATCAGTAAATCCTTAGTAACATGTGGATTCAAATAAACATCTAAGAAATTAAAATTATTTGAGTTCACAGTCTGGCTGATAAAAAAGCATTTCAAGGCCTAGGAACATTAAGCTTGCTGGTGCCTTGATACCACAACAGAAACAGAAAATCCTCAGGGATACAGAGAATGAATCAGACTTAAAACTTAACAGAATGTGGTTATATAAGTATTGAAAATAACCTATAAGATAAATTTTATATATTAAGATATTCCTCAGTTTTATTCTAAGGTGAGAAAAAATGGAAATAACCTAAATGCATATTAATACAGGAACTGTTCAGTTGTAGAACATACTGTCAATCAGTATCATGAATTTTCATCATAAAATCTGTGGAGCAACATGGAAATTATTGATATTTAGTGAAACCATAATATGAGACTGCATATATTCCATTATCAAAAATATGTTTCTGTGCCATATTTGTGGTGCTTGACTGTCACAGCTCCAAGAGCAAGGAGCTGAAAAAGCTAAAGACTAAGACTCCTACTGTTCAATCACACACACACACACACACACACACACACACACACACACACATTCATACCTCTCTACCAGGCCACCAGAGGCACTGTCACCTCTTTAGGGCTTAACGCAGGAATGGACACATGTCCGCCACATGAAAAACAAAAAACTTGCTAAAATATTGTTGGCATCCTCAACCAAGATGAAATGCCCCAAAATAACTCATATTCTTTCAAGATTAAAACCCTTCTACCTATCTCAACTCAAGCTTGATTTCCAGTTTTCCCCCCTTTGCAAGTGTAACTCCAGGCTTCATCCTCTTCATCAGACCTAAAACCCTGAAACACAAAATACTTTGACTTCCTCTCTGTTAGTTGATAAGAAATAATTTCAAGAGTGAGATACAGAAGTTAGGAAGGGGAACCAGTTTAGTTGAGGGAAATATAATTAATTTGTTCATTCATTCAAGAAAAAGGCACTTTGTGCATTGTATGTACCAAATGTGGAGAACACGGCAATAAACAAAATAAACATAGTTCTCATTCATATCTGGGGCAATTAATGCTGAGTTTATTCTGAACACAAACTGAGTTACTGCTGCTGCTGCTAAGTCACTTCAGTCGTGTCCAACTCTGTGCGACCCCACAGATGGCAGCCCACCTGACTCCTCTGTCCCTGGGATTCTCCAGGCAAAAATACTGGAGTGGGTTGCCATTTCCTTCTCCAATGCATGCATGCATGCAAAGTCGCTTCAGTTGCTAGGATAACCCTAACAGATAAGCTTATATTTAGACATAAACATAGTTTTCAAAAAAGTGCAGGCAAGAATCATCACAGGATTGGTTTCTGGAAGATAAGCACACAGAAATTGAACAGAGGGGAATCAAAAAGCCTTGAGTAACTGAATGCTTCACTGAGAATAACAATGCAGATTTGATGGAATGTGCAATAAACAAGATGTCAATTTCACAAACTTTGGAGACCTTAGAGGAAGAAGTTTATTCTGATGACTGATAAAGTCTAGAATGTATTACACTAGATCAGTGTGAAGGTTGGGTGGACACAGAAGTTGGGAGTCCTCAAAGAGGCACGACCATTAAGTCAGAGGGGTGAAAAAACATTTTCATTAGCCAAAAATTTTCAACACAGGAGCAATTTAAATCAATATGAGAGACCTTGGAATAAATTTTAATAATATTTCCACAGACAAATTCTCTGAAGAAGGAATTCTTTAAAAGAGGATGACATGCCTTAAGAGACCTGAGGGGAGAAAATTCCCATGAATGCAAACAATAAAATGGGCTGGAGATGAGCTGAAAGAAAAATTAAAACCTGTAAAAGCTAAGTATATGACTCCCAAAAAACATATTTAAGGGAAAATGTTCTTTTTTTTTTAAAAAAAAGGTACAGTTTCAAAGAACACTGGAAAACTCAGAAAAAAAAAAAATGGAGCTGAGGAAGACGAGAAAGAACTAACAATCATACCTAATTTGGCTCCAATAATAATATCAAAAAATTTTACTAAAATAATAAATACCATCAAGATGTAAATACTTTGTAGCCACTTGTAATATAATCCTCCCTTCTCTTATTTATCGTGCAACTATAAACAAACTATACATTTGGAGAACATGAAATAATCAAATTAAAAGTACTCCTTTGGGAGGTAACATTGGATGATACTGTTTCAACAACAAAAAGGGCAGCAATAAATGAGAACAAGCCACTCAAAAGAAAAAAGAAATACAAATTTTCTACATTGACAGAGAAAGTGTGGCTAATGTTACCACAGGATTTAGAGTAGCAAAACTAGGCAGGGGGTACTTCTCAGCAAATCTAATGTTTTTAATACTATTTCAACATTTCTTCTCTGACATCAGTTTTTAAAATTAGGAAATTCCAAAGTTGGTCAGAGAAAATTTAGTAATTGTGTAATTTACTAACTTGGGGCTGGGGGAGGAAAATTTTGTGTTTTATTTCAAAACTTACCTTTTATTAAGACCCACAATGGATTGAATCTGGTGAAGTATTCCATATTTTTATGAGGACAAAATGCTATTAAGACCTACAAACAAAATGTATTTTTATTAAAAATGACTAATGTTCAGTGAAAAGTTCAAAGGCTGGAAAAGAAGCACTAAAAAGAGTTTTTAAAACAACAGTTCTGCTCACTCTGCTCACTGGAAAAGTCATTTTCATAGTTAACCTTCAGGGCTAAGCAGCAGCTGGAAAAGCAGCATATTCTATAATGCAGTTAGTAAATGTCATGCCCTATTCTTGAAAGAAGCAAAATACATTACACCCTTAAAGACTGCAAATGACTCCATAACAGCATACAAGATATACAACAGATTTAAAACACAATGCATATCACATTAAAAGTTACCTCTCAACCAGATGCAATGTATGGTCACTGGGTGGCTCCTGGATTCAAAAACATAAATAAGTCAATTATTCCTGTTAGAATTGAAGAAATCTGAATACAGAAATTATACTAAATTAATATTATTAATTAGAAGTTGAATTTCTTAGATTTAACAATGTTTTATATTTAGGAAGGAGAATGTCCTTGTTTGTTAAAGATTCATGCTGA